TGGCTCAAGCAAGTCAACTTTCTAATTTCATAACACAAAATATTTAATTTATGATTTTCTTCATATGTCAATTTAACCTCCGGCACATAGCTTTGAAACCATGTAAGGATGTCTAACACTTTCCATATGGCTGCTGCATTGTGGCTTTTAATTGTACCAACTGGTATCATTCAAGGATAATTCCCCTGGAATCCAGTTTTCTGCTACAGTATTGGTCAATTCACTAATCTCATCACCATGGCACTAATACTTTCAGAGATCCTTTGATTTTTAGTGTTCATATTATAATTTTCGCAAACCAGCACGGTCAAGATGTATTATGTGCACCAGTAATTAAATTGTCTTGGTTTATTGGCACCAAAATCTCAACAGTACTTAGGGCTTTTCTCTGCTATTTCTTTCATTGCAAAATTTGGGTGAATTTGTTTTGGTCTACTACACCTGATGCATGCAAACTTAACAATTATTCAAACCCTAGCAATACCTAGAACTGACAAACCCATTGTTAATTTTAACCAGGTTTCTGTAAGTCAATATAGTATATTAGTTACAATATGCCAACAATGAGAGCAAGGAGGCAAGTTAAAAAAAAAGAACATTTTAAGTAGTCACACAGCAATATGGTAGACAGATAAATTATCCAATAGATATATACGTATATTGCTACCATGACAATAAAAGGTCAGCCTCTCAAAAGAGAGTTCTACTCATGAGATGGTCTCCAAAAATATTGCTAACTAGTGTTTAAAATTTAACTCTACCATTTTAATGACCTTCAAGGCAATGTGAATCTGGACAATAAATCAAAAAATTATTTTTAGGGAATTATGTTTTCATTCAGCACACATGACCTATCTACATGTGTGCTTTACAGACTATATCTACGTACACATACACATGCATGCTTACACACACTATTAAACAGATCAATCTTTTTTAAAAGAAAGATCCTGTTAGAAGAGTATCGAAGCTGACACTTTGCGGTCTATTCTCTTCTCAAACAATGCATGGAATGCCCATTAATGTCAATGGAAGTTACAGGCATAGAACATATGGAAAGCATGCCCCAATCTTAAAACCAGTGAACTGTTTTAAACTGTTCCCAGCCAGGGTGTGCAATCCCACTGATGTCAAGAAGAGTGAAGCATGCAAATCAAGAGCTGCATAAAGTCCTAACAATATACCGGTACCTAAAGTCTTTCCTAGTTTTCCCATCATGATAACTTCCAACTTGGCTTAGTGGGTACCAGTTTGTTTGGGACCATACAGGCAATTAAAAATGACAGATTTTTCAACCCAGAACTCCGATTTTGATGAGACACTCTAGTAAGAAACTAGTAAAATTTGTTATGGCTTTGAAGATAAAAGTAAATTGAATTAAGCAAATGCTATATTTAAAAATTTCCCCTCTAGCGCAGAGCTGCTTTTTAGTTTAAAAAAAAATTCAAATAATGGTGGTCTGCAGAAATAGTTTGTAAAAATAAACAAGATGAATAAATGAAAACTGATAAAGGATAATCTGCTCAGTGACAGGAAGCTTTTCCCTTTTCCTCCAGCCTCAAATTAACTCCTTCATAAGTAGCAACAAACATGTATTCTACTTCCCTAAAAGGCTTTGTAATGTACAACCCTAGTGGTTTCAATTAGCATTAAAAATAGAAGATAACTCAAGCCATCATACTTTTCATGGATGCCACAAAATTGCTTTTTTCTTTAATTCAGTGTCATGGAACGGGATGGCTGCAATTTAACCCCAGCCTACACAGTGATTAAAAAATGTAGAGCATAGCAGCCCCTGCTGGGCAGGTGTCAATGCTTTAATGAGATCAGAGCTTTTATCCCAGAAGAGAAGGCTGTTTACACACCAAAAGTGCATATTTCAAATGCAATCGCTTTACCCTTGTTCGTGCCTTCACCCAACAACAATTTACTACTATGACATCCTACTCAGATGACTGATGCATTTGGCAATAGCTGGACACTGATTAGTTTTCTCCTCATGAATGTTGGAGGGGAAAACATCAGCTGAGCAAAGCTTCTTCCAATCAGGAAATACTCTAAACTACAGTTCAGTAATAGACCAGCTCTTGAATTTTTGAATCATGCTCCTGTCAAACAGTTCAAGATTCAGTGTACACAAATATTTCCGTCAACTGGTTTAGGAAACTCATCCATGTACATTCCATCTTATATTTTAAGTGAAGAAAACTAAACTTTATTTAGCTAATTTATTCATTCCTCGTTGCTTTAAAACAGCTACATTAGGGTCAACTTCCTTGGATGACAGAAGTGAAGCAGACCATTTTAGTGGCCCTGTTCTTGAGAAAATAGCCTGCAACTGGTTTATATCCTGATTTATATGTAATGTATTGTCAGATTTCTCTATTATGAACAATTTTTCACCAAGACAATCCAAAATGTCACAGCACAACACTGTTGAGTGCTCTCAACTCTCATCAAAAGCCAAGAGAAGATGCACAAAATTTCACAAAATCAGGCCCAAAATGCTAGACAGATCATCATCATCATGATTCTTTTTAGAGATTCCTGAGAAGAGGCTCAATAGTGAACAAAAATATTCCTAGAGCCACTGATTTTTCTCTAATGTAAACTCAATTGGATATTTCCCTGAATCCATACAGTCTCATCTCTTTTTGATCTAACTATTCCTACCACAAACCGCAATAGCATATGATTTTTCACTAAAATCATCATTAAAATATGATTTTTTCCCACTAAAATAGGTTTTAATGGAAAACCAAACTTTCAACCATGGCACAAGCACAAAGAAAAAACTTTGACTGATTCAGGTATAACAGTCCGGTATTGTTTGGGTATGTACATTTTTATGTAGCATTCCATGAAATTGATTATAAATATTAGTCACTTCTACATCTTGAAATAAACTAATAACTAAGATGCTAGGCTGCAGTCCACTTGATAGCTTAGGGGAATGGACTAGATGATCTTTCGAGGTTCCTTCTAGCCCTGCATTTCTATGATTCTATGATATCTTGGTAGATCAGTGAATCAAAGATAGGTCTTAGAATTGGTCTTGCAACCTTGACTCCATAACCTTTATACACAGCATATCTGTTTCGGCTATAGTAGTAGAAATATCTGCTTCCATATTACATAAAATTCATATTTTAAGGAACCTTAATTAACTGTCACAGCCCGCTTCCAGCAGGATGCCAATAGCATTAAAGCAATTAACAGGCAATGAGGCCATATATTCAGGGCAATAGCAGGCCACCATTATTTTGAAACATTCTACACCAAACTACATGTTAGGAGGTACAGTCAACACCTTCTATGGAATAGTGCATTCAAGCACATTTCAAATTAACTAATTTTAGAGGACAGTAAAAATTACGGATAATTTAGCTAATTGCTTAATTAACTAAGAAAAACAATTACTTTTTACTAATATATATAGAGATGAATAAAACTCATGGAGTTAGAGTTTTGCAAATCTCTCAAAGTATCGTTGAGATTCAAAAAACTTATGTTCGAATTTGTGAGGTTTTTCCTGTATTTTAAACTTATGTTTTCTTTTTCTATTCAGTTTAAATTTGAGACTCTCTTTCCTAGACAAACCTGCCAGTTAAGGGTAGAACACACATATCCAAAAGTTTGACTCGCAAAAGTGGGTTTATCTGAAGAATAATTGCAGGCAGTATTATTATATTCTATTTATTGATACAGATTATACACACACTATTTTAAATGAGAAATTCTTTCTCCCACTGTCATCACCTTTTCTGCAAGAAAAAACTCCAAGTCAAACCCTCAAACCAATGGTGGCTAAGAGAGTTTAACAGTGAGCAAAAATAATTTGTCCATCAATAATAAATAACACTTATATAGCATCTTACTCCTTTCACCTAGCCTCCAATGAGCTCCAAATTATTTATCACACCTCACAAGATAAAGGTTTTAAGATTATAGACCCCCCAAGCACAAGAGAAAGGTTTTAAGACCCCAACATAGTCTCTCATCCATTCTCACATCTCAAACAAGAGGAAAGGTAAAGTCCAGATGTTAAGTAAAAACTACACCATTTACGATGAAATGCCTCCTCACAAACACAAAAGTCTGCAGGATGTTTGGTGATGCTGCCCTGACTGTGTTTTCTGACACACATTCCTGCACTGGGAAGCACAGATTCCAGTCTCCTCATCTCTCAGGTTACTCTTCCACTGACCCAGTTTAAGGGATTGATCCAAAGCACATTGAAATCTGTGGGAGTCTTTCCATACACTTCAGTGAGCTTTGGATGAGATCCTAAAAGAGTAGATGGACAATATTTGAGAATCACTGTCTTCTACACCCCATCATTCCCTTGAGTTTCAAGGGACAGCATTAAGAAAGAAACCTACAACCCCACTCTTGCCCAAACTTTACACAGAAAATTTAGGGGGAGGTGGGGTCTATAGACTTCCCGCAGGAGCATATGCTCACAGATGAGCAGGGAAGTGACAAGTGGCAAGCTCAAAAACTCTTTAAAAAGAAAATCACCAATGCACTCATCGTGTGACCAAATCAGTAAATAACACTTTTGGAAAGTAGTAAAAAGGCTCTTTCGTGGCTCGGCTCTCCTGAACTCCTGTGTCAAAGAGTCACAGCAATAACTCTCTGCCACAGACAGTAGCTTCTCTTGGTACCTTTTGGGAGATGGGCGCATTCCAATGGTTTTCTGTTTGTTCCTGTTTGCAGTGGGTTTTGTACTAATCGTCCTGCTAATAAACTAGTGGGCAGGTGCTTATACTTCTAGCAGGCTCTTATGCCAGAGCAGAGTTTGTTCTGGGTGTCTAACCTCACCAAAGGGGCACAAGGAAGGAAGCCACCCACCGGGGCAGCCGCTAAAAGCAGCATCTGGGCAAAGGAGAGCCGCCTCACAGCTGATCCTGGGAAGGGAGAAAGGGGCTTGGTTGGGCTTTTAGTGTTTGAAGAGGAGAGGGGAAGGGGGAGTGTGTGCCGCTGAGACACTGACATACCCTGGTGCTGGAGAGCCTGCAAACAGCCCGGTGCTGGCAGCCTTGCAGGAGTCCCGTACTGCTGCCCCCGCTGCTACCGAAGTATTTCTGCTTCACCATCCAGTCCTCAATCCCTTTCCGAGCCAGGGAGGCGTTCACTGCAAAACTATCACCTAAGGAAAGCACAAGAGACAATGCCACACACTGGAGCAGCACACCCATGCCCTCTGCCTGCCCCAGGGTGGGAGTGTTGGGGGGGGGGGGGGTGGACCAGCACCTGGGGCATAAACCTGAGCCGGCCACCACAGTCCCAGCGAACCCGCCGCAGAAAGTTTTAGGGGGAGAGAGGGGTGGGGGGGTGTGAAAGTTGCTAGCAATACAGAGCCATCCCTACCTTCTGGACTTTCTCTGGGTTTACAAACGGCAGCTAGGCAGGTCCATGGGAAAGTGTAGGGGGGGGGAAACAATAAAGGAAGATCATTAGACACCAGTATAAAAAAATCACAACAAACAACATGAAATCCAAACCAGGGGGAAAGGGGCTGTGGGAGTAGCAAGTGAAAGGAACTAACCATGTTTCGAGTGAAGTTTCCCCATTTCTCTGCATTGATCTGCAATTACGATTCATTGGACTGTTTTCAGTGGTGGTTTTTTTTTTTTTTTTATAAAATCCCAACGTTTTTAGAAATCCATGTGCTCCACTTCCCCCCCTGCTAAAGCAAAAGCAAAATCAAATCTCAGTTCCCCTTCTGCAGCACGGTCCTGCGTTCCTCCTCTCTCTCTGCTGAAGTCTTTCTCCTCTCTCTTCTCTTTTCCCAAAGACAGAGGCGGTTACAAAAGACCTTACTTCACCCACCAGGGAACATGATTGACACCTCATTGAGATTAGACCACTTGCAGGCAGCCTCTGGATTCCTATTGGACTGAGGCGGCACATGAAAGGGAATCAAGATCCTTTTGGAGTCTCAAAAAAAAAAAAAAACGGAGCAGCAGCAGCTCTGGTGCATTTCACTTCCAGCCAGACACAGGCAGCAGAGCACAGAGCCACAGAGAAAGCCCAGGGAAGGCAAAAGGAGGAGGCCTCTTTCTAATGACTGAAATGGGTTTGCTAAATCGGATGCACTAGTTCATACAGCTGCAGGGAGGAAACTTTGGGAACGCGCTGCACGCTCTAAACATACTCGGGTCCCCATCATTCCCCACGTTTAGCTGCAGCTTTCCAAATGTTTCTTCCCCTCAGGGCTGAATGAGGAAAATATACCACCTCTACCAGCCCCTGGGGTTGCCCATTTTAATAAAAGGTGTCTACTGAATGTGTTTATTTTTATGTTTTCCTCCCATTGGTCCCGATTCTCCATGCCAGCCAAAGTGATTTCACTGTAGACACAAGGCAGGGTGGGTAATAAAAGCGGCTTTATGCCAGTTTTGCAGTACCTAGATATGGGACTGGCTGGGAACTGGAGCAGTCCTTGGTGCAAACTACAACAGCCTCTGAGGCTGCTCTAATTTAGGTTTGGCTGAAACTGCCCTATAGGGCTGACCAGCAGCCCAGAGCAGGCTGGAGTGCAATGTGCTCCAGCAACACACCGTATGCTTCCCTTATATGCCAGTGGCTTCAAAGGGGATTGTGGCACGGGACAGTTTCACTAGCACTTCAACACTGGGGAAGCGCCCATATTCCAGGAGTATTCCATGCGGGAATTAACAGTATTCTTCCAGCTTTGCAGCCAGCTCAAAGGAGCTGTAAGGAACCCCAGAATCAGGACCATCAGCTTCCACAGGACTTGAAAGCACTTAAACCTCACAGGATTAACCCCAGAGGGCTGCTGGACTGGACTCAAAATCAGTTTATCAAACATTTTAATTACCCATTACTGTGCTCCCTCAGAAGCTAGTCTCATTGACCTCTGAGTGTTTTGCCTGCATCAGGACCACAGGTCTGGATGCTTCTGCTATATTTTCAGTGTTTAAAAAAAAAACCTTCATATGAATGAGCTCATACCCCAGAGTAACATACTGCCTTGTCATTACTGATGCGGAATGCACCCGTACCTGGAAATACCTGGAAATTTAATACAAATGTATACCTTCTTGTAACTTCTGCAAGTTATTCTTCAGCGTAAAGTTAATTCAGGCACTCAGATACTGAGGTGATAGGCACCATAAAACCACATAGCCCTTGATTCTCAATTTCCTAATTTCCAGGAAAGCTGGGGTGTTTTGAAAAGTGCAGATATTCTACAGGTGTAAGGTTCAATACCTTACTCATGTGCATCTTTCCTCACACAAGCCATCTCCCTGAAATCACTGCTCACATGGGAAAAGTTTTGCAGGTTCAGTTCCAGAGATGTTTCTTAATGGCTTAGGGTGCTGGACAAAAGCCTCAATCAGCCTTAAAAAATAAATGAATAACATAAATCAAACTTTAAAAAAACCCGTCTCTTCCTTTTCCAGCATTTGGGCCAGTACTATTGTTTTACAGATACGATACATCAAAAAACTTGCAGTTTTGTAAAGAGAATTTTTAGTCATTAAAAACTTATTTCCTTCCTTCTGCTGGTCATTATTTTTTATTTTATGAAAATCACATCTCCCTCGGGATTTTTGAAGTTCAGCTAAGAGAGATAAAAGAGAACAAGAAGAGCAGCGTGATTACTAGTTTAAGTTTTGAGAAAGAAAAAAATGGAGATTTCCAAGAATTTTACTCTACAAACCACTACTCAAACTACACAGGGATTGGTCCAGATGGGCCCAGGCCAAAAAATTCCAGTCTACATCTGTGTTTTCAAACACTTTGATTTCAGGGGAGACGGGCTTGGAATTCATCTCTATTAGAGATTCCAAAATGTATGTGGTGAAACTCTGATGTGACGTGACTCTATAAATCACAATCACTATCAAGACATTAACTAAAACATTTAATAGCTGATTGTTCCCTGAATAATGGAGAGAGAGAAATTTGCTTTCCAGATTATTTCAACTATTTATCTGTCTAGCAAATAAAACTCATGAATTGCAATGTTCAGTGATTGCAACAGCATCAATTGCTTGTCAAATAGCCAATAATTTGCATCTCTTTTTGAATCTCTTTCTTTTTATATATTTTAATAATTTATTTGGCCCATATCTTATGTTATGTATTTGTTCCTTTGAAGACTGCTTCTTGTTTTGGGGAGATGAAAGGGGGGGGTTAGATCAATCAGACTCCTGGGGGCCTGAGATTCACCTGTGAAAATTCTGACAGATATTAAGCAATTTGAAATTATAATATCAGTTCTATTTTCCTCCCAGCTTGGCTTTTTTTCTTAAGCTAAATCAAACTCTAACTTACTCAGGGTTACAGTGACTAGCTACATAATACATTTCAAGGAAATAAAAGGGCAATTAAAAAAAATGCCCTGCAATATTTTTAAAGGGACTCTACCCCACAATGTTCAACTCTTGAAACAAAATGAGGCCCCAGTTCTGCCATGAGCTCAACACGGCTGCACCACGAGTCCTTGCAGAGCCCCCATGACTTCACAAACGGTGTCGGGGTCCATCTGTGCAGAAATCATGACAGAGTCAGGGCATTATACCTTTGTAACATAATATATGATCTTTGCAGAATTATTGCTGAAATATGGGACAAAATTCATCCTGTATTGATTTGAGAAGGGATATTAGACACTAAGGTCTTGATCCTTCGGGTTGCTGAGCTAAATTTGCACAGAACTCAGCACTCCATAGGAGGTGCTCAGCAACTTGTGGGATCAGGCCCCAAATTATTTTGCCCCTTAAAATAAAGGATAGGTGGCCACCATTGTCAGGGTGAAGTCCTAAAGGATGCCTGCTGTTTTCTGGTTGAACTTTGTGTATGTCTTTAGATACCTTTGTACTATTCCTCTTAGCCATGGCAACAGCTTCAGAAAATGATTACTTTCCTCTTGCATGCTCTCTGTTGGTCTCGCTCTTACATACACACACTTCCATTTATGGTCAGAACATTTCCAGATGGGGACCTCGGTTGTTTCTAGCTCTATTGTACATTTGAGGGCTCTTTGTTCCATTTAGGAATATAAAAATAAGCAAATAAACACAATAACATCCTTTCATTGTTTCCCCCAAGCATTTGTAAATTGATTTTCACTGCAAACTATCACATTCAAGAGGGCTAGGGTTTCTGTGTCACTTATCAGTCCCATAAGCCATGGAATTTGCACTGGAATTCACCTCTTATAGAAAAAATTGTCACAGAACCAGATATTTCTAGCCTGCGTGGTTGTGAAGAAAAGTTTGAAAAACATGAATGGAGCATAAATGGACGCAGTGATAGAGGTGTGACCTGCCCCATTCACAGAATATTAACTCTGAAACCTAAAGATGTCAAGCTGGGGCATCCTGAAAGCTGAGAATTTGGAGACAGAATAAACTGAATTTTATGTAAAATAAATAATATGGGGACTATAACACTGATTGCATTACTCATTTTCATATCTAATTCAATACAAATCTCACATTATTAATTTATCTGAACTAGCTGCCGAACTTCTACCATTGCCACAGAGCGCATGGGACTCTGATTATAACTTTGCCTGAAACTCCAAATGCAATCTCATACTCTGATAAGGCTCTTTGGAAGCTCTACAATATACTTTGGTTGTAGATCCATTCAAAAACCTCTTTTTTACTTACACTTTGAAACTTTTTCCAGCAGAATTAGACACTATGCTTCATGGACTTTATTTCAAACTGAGATGTGAACTTCTTACTGTACCGTCCTCATCCGTAGACAGACTCTGCCACCTTTATTTACATAGGGAAGTACCTTCCTTCTCAGATAGGTAATTGTATCAGAATCTGGCCATTAGCTTACATTTATTTTCTGCCAGTTTGTTTTATGCTTCATCTGAATATTTTCATGTATCAAGTGTGTTACTGTATGTTCTGCAGTCATGCCAGTTCAGGGCTGTGATCTTATTAGAATTCATAAACTAAGCAAGACTCAGTCTTCACTACCTGAATGGAAGATTTCCAAGGTAAATCCAGGTGCTTCAGGAAGATGTGATGACGATTTAGTAGGTGGCATTATTCCTTCAGAGTCATTATTGAAGTAATGGTCCAGTGTGGGTCTAGGAGGCACAGCGTTATAAGAGGTTCCATCTTTTGGATGAGATATAATAAAAAGTCCTGATTAATTATGACCAGTAATGATTTTGCAACAACAGGCTTGTCATCTAGGAACATATACTGAAAGTAAGGAGTTTCTCTTGAAAAATCTAGGTACATAATATGGTCCATATATTAGGTTGTAAATAGAAATAATATTTAGGGTGTGTGTGTGTGTGTGCGTGCAGTGCTAGCACAATGGGGCCTCAATCTGAATAGGGCCTCTAGGCACTGCCATAATACAAATAAGTAATAACAATTATATTAGATTGAATAATTAATAACTATTCTTTAACTAGGGAAGGAAAGTATTAATTATTCTTTATGGGCTAATTCTTGAGGTCCTTATTCAGTTTTGGCTCAGGCAAATTCCAATTGACTTCAGTGTCATTTGGCCTGAATATATATATGGTATACAAACTGAATAGGCCCTCAAGATTTGTCTCAGTAGAATTACAATGATCTTCATAACCGCAGGGTCTTTGAGTTACACAAAGCCTTTTGTTTTTTTCTTCGAAGGAGTCAGATGTATGTTAAGTAGTGAC